TACAAGCGTGATACTGAAGACTACGACTATGGGTTTGGATCATATGCACCCGACTTCGGGTTTCTAGATCCTTTCGCCTTCCACCAGCAGCTGACTCAACAAATTTTGGCACAAAATGCCGCCCAACAACAGTAAGATTTGATTTGATCCGTACATATTGTAATGCTTTTGAAAATTTTCTGAACTTCTTTGGCTTTTTCTGTTTCGGTTTTTTCCTGGTGTTGGTGATTCCAAATTCCTTTCATTCTAACGCTTTCAAATGTGCCTAATATCATAGAGCTATAGCTTCGACACTTGTAAATGGCAATGCATTTGTTTCGGCTGGGGCATCTAATATGCCCGACTATATGGACGATGATGAGTAAATATTCCATGGAAAGACATGCTTAGTAACGGTTTTCATACCCATTAAAAGCAAATCAATTGGTGAACAAATTTAATTGTTTTTTTTTTATCCTGGATTACTTTTCAGAGCTATCTACCGCCAGCAACAGGCACTCTTTGACTACGTCAGACGTCAATCCCAATACAATGGAAAAGGTAATCGTTATGCCCCCAACTACTCTGCTGCTGCTGCCTCAGTTGGACCTGGAGGTGCTTACCAAACTGCTGTCATTAGCCCCGGCAATCCTGTAAGTTGGGCATATTTATATATGTTTTTAAGGATTCCTCGACCTACTTACCATTCCTATAATTTTATAGGCTGTTCCAAATATAAGCAACCGCTTTTCTTCGACTAGTCCTGGTGGCTTCAAGGGTGTATCTGTCAGTTCCTACAGCAGTAGTTCAGACATTAATGGCAAGCGCACCAGCAATCGTGGTGCTCAGACCACTATCAATGACAATGGCCGCATTACAACATACAAGGTTCATTCCTAGACTGGAATTGTTTAGGCTTTAATTGTGATTATTTATTGCTACTCTCACTATGTACTTTATTTTTGAAATGTATTTAATTTTTTATGATTCAACTTCTGCTACAATATTCGAAATATTCTTATTAAATACTCTTATTTAAGATTATTTATACATTTAAATAAAAACAAAATTTTCTTATTATGTGCGAAATTTTAATGAAACAAATTAAAACAACAATTATTTTTTAAATCGTATTATGTTTGGCCTCAGATGAATCCATAAAAATATGAAGTTCAATTCCAGTGTCAATGTCACCGGAAGCAAGCTGTTGAATAATAGAAATGATCGATTGCTCATTCACTATCTGTCTGATAGACAATGCAAAGTTTTCAGGCGCTAATACATAAATACTATGCAATTGTTTCTAAACAAAATTAAAAAAATAAAAATAAATAAATAAACGATGTGATAAGAAATCTAAATAATTTCCACTAACACATAATACTCTGCTCAGTGTCTTGAATTCTAATTTATATTAGAGCATTTGTATATAAATATATCAAATCAACTTTTACAGTCATTACTAAATATTAACATATGTTTTTGATAATGATTAGGTAAATCGACCACAAACCTTATTTTTGTCTATTTTCTGGTCGCTATAGAGACCACAATTATAACCCGAACATCACTAAATTTTACATCGAGAAAGGAATCTGGCCATAGAATAATATTATTTAGTTCTAATGCACCAATTCTGTTTAGTTGGAGTCCCTGGACCACGAAAAAAACTTTGTTTTTGTTTTTTGTTTTTGGTGAAAATATGCATACAGTAGATATCGGATATAAGCACATCTCATATAAGAAAGATTATCAAAAACACCGAGCCTTTTTACATCTCATGTAAAGTTTTACAACAATGTTCTATAAATGAGAATCAAATGGGAAATGAGAACAAACTACACAAACACAATCACATATTTGAACAAACAAAATTGTCATATGCAATTTTTCAGTATTTGTACAATTTTATTTTCTAAAAACATGAATGAAAAATCCAAGCGATACCTACATAGTTCGCGATTTTGCAATTCATTCGAAAGCTATAAAGCAAAATCCAATGAGAATTTCAAAAACGTGGGCAAACTACCAAATATTTAAATTTGGGAGGTATCCTTATGTGGTGGCTAAACTAAAAACTGCACCAATATTTATAATTTTGTTACTTACGTAATAACGTAATCGTTTATTAACTTTCAAGTCCTAACTTCGGTCTTGATATGATACTCCATTAGCATCATATAAAAATTCTAACAATTAAATGTTTTGATTCATTGATCTTGATGTGTCATAAGAAGTGGCCCGATGAGACCCGTTTTTTCCACTTAATCTAAATATAGTAAAAGAATTACGATTACATTTAGATCAAATGGGGCATTCCAATCGCTAGATATTGGACAACAAATTTTCGAACTTAATCTAGGTTTGGTAATAGTTTAGCGATCTGTGTAAAGTTTGGAAGTGCCAATCTTCAGACTTGATTTAGGTCTGGTTAAAGGTTATAGATATATTTTTTATTTATGAGAATAAGAAATAATGAAATTTTTTTGGAGGGGTTTGCTATGGGAAATTATTTTTGAGAAAAGTAGTCATAAAAAGGTTGTACATACGTCGGTTCAAATCGGATAATCCTTTCCCATTATAGAATACATTTTCAGCAAAATGTTGACCCTATTGCAGGGGAGGCACCAGAATAAATACTACGATTGAGCACCAGCCAGACAGGCGCACTCAATTGACTCTCAATTGTCTGAAATGAATTTGGTCCAAAGATACTTGGGGTCTAAAACCAATATTTCGATGAGGCACATTTTTATGATAGTAAATTGTGTATAAGCCTATTAGATGAGGGTATAATAACGAATAAGTCGCAAAGTATAGGCTTTGGGTTATTTAAAACGTTTGTAGTATTCTGCGCAATTTAGAACAAATTGCAAAATAACTTAAAGTGAGTCAATCTGCCGTTTCATCTGTTCTAAAGGTTTGTAGAAAACTTCTAAGTAATGGAAAAATGGTCATCGAAATATTAATTTGCGACCATATAAAATATATATAATCTTGATCAGGGTAAAATTCTAAGGCGATCAAGGCAGGCAGGTCAAGTTCGAAGATGGGATATATCGGTTCACGTTTAGGCATAGCTCCCATATAACAGTACCCTCCCCAATTTTGGTACATTGGGTTCTTATTGGGTACTAAATGTCTCCACGAAAAATTATAAATATAGGTCCACTTTTTCAGGTAGCCCCCATATAACGGTACCTCCTAATTTACGGCATTTTGAGGGCTTTGAACGTATTTTTCCACCGAATTGGCTATAATGTAGTATTTTTAGTTCTTAAAGGGTACCAAATCTCCCCACAAAAAAAATGTAGGTCAAATATTTCGGATAGCCCCCATATAATGGTATCTCTGTATATTGGGGTTCTTGAGCGCGTTTTTCAACCGAATTCGCTCCAATTTGGTATTTTGTAGTCGTATATGGTAACAAATCTCCATACCAAAAAAAAATAAATATTCGCCCCTTTTTGGGGTCGTTCCCATATAACCCCCATTGTTATACCCTTCACCACACTGTGGTACGGGGTATTATGTCTTTGTGCATATGTTTGTAACAGGCAAAGAGAAACGAGATATACATATGGCCCCTTTGAGAATATGCTTAGAATCACTTTCTGAGTCGATATGATCAGGTCGCATTTATGATCCGATTTGGATGAAATTTGGCATAGGTCACTTACTTGGCCCAAGGACGAACCCTATTGAAATTGGGAAAAATCGGTTCAGATTTAGATATAGCTATCATATATTTTTTCATCCGATTTAATGTAAATGGGGCACCAAAGTCCCTATATATCTCTCGATTTGCACGAAATTTGGCACAACGTATTGAATTAGGCCTAGAATGATGTGTGTTAAGTTTCCTGAAAATCTGAAAATCATATATATTTTTCAGATTTAAGATATGGCTCCCTATATATATTTGCACGAAATTTGGCACAACGTATTGAATTTAATGATGTGTGTTAAGTTTCCGGTTCAGATTTAGATATAGCATATATATCTGACGAAATGAAAAAAATTAGTATCGGTTGCAGAATGGCATGTTTATGGATCCAATTTAATTTTTCTGTGCTTTAAAAATGCGACGTCTGTTAGGATTCATCTGTTGAATATACCCAAAGTGGTGAAAGGTATCATTTAGTCGGCCCCGTCCGACTTTACTGCTTTCCTTACTGGTTTATATTAAAATAGTTATATGATTTTTTCCGTGTTTGGGTTTGGTTCTAAGACTATGTTGTAATCATTTCATCTGCGGAAGAAGAAAAGAAACTAGAACATAAGGTTCGAACTTGAACTAATTTTGGAAGAAATAATAAGATGGGCAAAGTTTGGATGAAAAAAAATTATTTGGAACCAATATTTAGAACCATTATCGGTTTGTAGAAATGTCGGTATAGGTACACTTTTTGGTATGTTCCCTATATTTTTATATAGGGAACATATATTATATATACTGTCAGTATATCTATGGTGGACGGTATCCAAAGTTCGGCCCGGCCGAACTTAACGCTTTTTCACTTGCTTTTGTTTAAGAAATGAATTTCTATTAGTATCGTATATAGTTCGAATATTTTAACTGCACTTTCCAGACGATTTAAAAGAAACAAACAAAGACCTTCAATACAATTAGACCGCAAAGACGGAAATTTATGTTCATTTCCAATGAAAAAGACCACATAGCAATTAAGAACTCGGTGATACCAAATCAATGAGATCAATGGCTAGAATTCTTATTAATTTAATTCTCTTTGCTTTTGTTTGGCTTTTGCTGTTTGTAATATTCCTTATCAAATTTTACGATTTTGTAGGTCATGACGGTATCAGGAGGTTCAAGTCTTTGCTCGACGCTTATCAGTGTTCGTTTTTTTTTCTGGGAAGGATGGCAAGAGATTTTTTAATGAAAGCTAATACATAAATATTATGTTTAGTTCCGAAAGTCGAATCATTAAGGAAAAGTCGGCGGTGGAAGTAAGACAATCTTATACGGGAGATTAACAAATAAAAAATAAAATACCAAAATGAAATACTTTTTAGTATTGGCGACTTTGTGCCTCAGTGCTGTTGTAGCAGGTAATTTTAATAAAGACAAAATAATACAGTTTATTATAAAAAGTGTTTAACAAAAATGCGAGATTGAGTGAATAAATGTGAAATGGAATGTAAACAAAAATATTTGAATTAAAATTAAAATTTAAAAGTGAATGTTGTAGTAAGCAAGGAACAGCTGTTAAAAACTATAATTATTGCGAAGTTAAAGAATTTGAAAACAAAATACAATTTTTGACTATTTTTTCTTTAAAAAAATATTTAATGTTTTAATAATTTAAATTTTTACAATAAATTTAAGTGACAAAACTACTGAGAAAATTAACACTGTGATTTCCCAACAAATGATAGATTTCTTCAATGATATTTTTAACGACATAGAGTCCTTATTGTCAAAAATTTTTGATTTTTAAATAGAAAATTTGGTTAAATTAAAAAAACGTGCATATATACTGAAAATGGCAGGGGCATTTTAGTATGGGAATTCATTAAAATATTGTCAAGTTTTTATTAGCACTTTTTGGGGCCTTGGGTTTAGTTGTTTAGAACTAAATAGATGGATTTTTCACAAACGTAGTTCTACAAACATCAATCAGATTGATTCCTTTAATAGAATCATATTTGTCAGAAGATACGCGCATATATTGTAAGTACATCTCATTAGAAATAACGAGAAACTGAATCGAAACTTTCAAGAATTTTCTATATCCGAGTTTAGCCATTTTTCAAGAATTTTCTTCTTGGTGTTTATGTCAGATATCAGTTTAAGCCCTTTTCACAATTATTCAAAATTCTTCATTAATTATTAATGTTAGTGAGGTTATGCTCTCAGATTGACGATCATTATTATTGAATTAGAATATGACATCGTTAATTCCGGTAAGCTTGTGTTTTAGAGATAAAGTAAATTGTTGAGACTAATGTATTTGGAGAAGATTTCGTAACAGTTCCATAGAATGGAAATAGTGAACATATTTAAAAAGGTGAATTTTACGGAGTAACGAAACTCGGTTGTTATCAATATTTTTTATATAAGTCCAAGTTGTGAAACCCTTTTCTTAGTAATTTTACAAAATAAATATGACTTATTCAAGTTTTGTACTTAAATTTCAAAATCATATTAATCCTGAAGTCAGTCATTCTATCATAGTATTATTGCAGTATAGTTAAGCTCCAGAACCTTAAATAATCAACAACTTTTACAACTTTTGACTAGAAGCCCGTTTCTATACCCACATAACTAGTAAAACTTTCAACCAAATTTAATAGATTCCAAACCAAAATAATATTCTCTTAATAAACCTTTTACTTGATAATCTTGGCCGAGTAAAAATTGGGAATGCCAAAATCTGATTTGTCGGTGTAATAATTTTGAAGGATTTACCACCTAATTTGGACATTTGTTACTAGTTTTACGTTCCAGAATTTTCGATTTTGAAACAGTTGTTCTTTTTAATATCATTACTTTTAAATAGAGAGCAATGATAACATTAAAAATCCAATAATTAGAAAATATTTTATTTTCAAGTGAAAGTGACCCATATTTTTCAAGAATAAAACAAATTGAAATGCATTTTTCATTAACTAGATTTTGTTGCTATGACCATCAAATTTGATTTTATCATCATAAAATTTAAAAATTATTCCATAATATTTGACTTTTCTAGAATAATGCCCAATGTCCGAATATTGTCTGGCTAATCTTTTAGTCAGATAACTTTTGACATTCATTATTTTTATATCACCATCATGTTGTTGCTACATGTACACATATTCCATGGAGTTTATTTTTGTTCTTAATATTAGTTTGTGAAGATGGTTTTTTTAATGACTACATCCTGTTTTACAAAATAATTGATTTTCGTTTTTTTTTCTTTCTATTTACAGAGGATTTGCATCAGAGGTATGTTTGAAATAATGTGTAACTTTTGGTGGATACAATTAAATTTCGTTTATTTTATTTATATTCAATTGCCGAATTTTATTTTATTTTGTCTTTTTCGTTTTTAATTAAAGGCGTGATTTTCACAGTCTGTAAGTACCACATCCATTAAAAAATAAAAATTCAATTGGTTATGGGCACTTGAATTTTTTTACAAATTGGTTGAATTGGTACAAACTTATCACTGACAAAATATAAAATCTAAAAAAGACCCAAAATTAATTATAAAAAATTACGTATAAACATATACATATGTGAGTGTGAGGTGTTATAAAAGGATATGCGGACACATGTTTTAATTGGTATTTGAATTCTATCAAATAATCCAATAACATATATTGTCTCATTGTAGAAAATGAAATGAATGTGAATATTTATTTAAATACGCAAATACTTTTCCACTTTTTTGAACGGAGGCAATTTTAGTGCATCTTACAGTAATATAGTGGAGTTCAGTAAATAATGACCGAACAATAATAATCCCCAAATTGTTTTTTATTTGCCGTTCGGCCATTGATAATTTTATTGGTGTGTTAAATCACGCCAAGTAGTGCCTAATTTTTTATTTTACTTTTAATTCGATTTTAACATTGAAAATTAACATTTTGAGCAGATATTATTATGATTGTGCAAAAATTGTATACCACAATCCACTACTGATGTTCAAATAATCGATAGTATCCATGCCTAAACCTCACATACACACACTCACACATTACCTAATGAAATAAACTTCTTATTGGCATTTCGATTTCAAAAGACATTTCAGTCAACACCAACAAACTCTGGAAGAGGCTAAGAGAAAAATTGCTGATGTTTTAGATGGGTAAGTTGAGCGCAGAATGTAATTCTCTTTGGCAGTACGATTGACTGACAAGCATTATTTGATTTTGCAGACAAGCTTCATTTGAAGAAGTGGGCAGCTACGGTGGTGTAGGTGGTGTTGGCACTGTTGGATTCTCTTCCGGATCTGGATCCTCTGGTTATGGCTCATCCGGTTATGGTTCGGCAGCTAACTCTGCATTCACTTCATCTGCCAACTCTGGCTTTAGTTCGTCAGCAAACTCTGCTTTCAGTTCTTCGGCTAACTCCGAATTTGGTTCTAATTTCGGTGCTTCCAGTGGATTTGATGCCAGCTCTAAATTCACAGCTGGATCGAACTTCGGTGTCGGTCATTCGGCTAACATGGCCGCTACATCCGGTTTTGGTTCTGAGTCAACATTCTCCAGCGGCGCTCACACTGGCTCATCGGTTGTTATTCCTATTGTTAGCGGCAGCACCGGTGGTCACGAAAGCTATGTTAAGCACGAAGAAAAAATCAATCAAGTGGCTACTCCTGTAGTTTACACTGCTCCATCGGGCGGTGCTGAAAAATATTATCACCACGAAGAACGCCGTGTTACCAATGCAGCCACTCCTGTCGTTTACACTGTACCTTCCGGTGGTTCCGAAAAATACATTCACCACACTGAAAAGCGTGTCCAAACCCAAACTGCTGCCCCTGTTATCCAATTCGCTCCTACTGCTGGCGGTGAAGATTATGTTCACCACGAAGAACGTGTTGTAGAAAGCAAGCCCCAGGTCGTGCAATATATTGCTCCCTCCGGCGGTTCCGAAAAGTACTACCACCACGAAGAACGTCGTGTCCAGAGCCAACCTCAAGTAATCCAATACGTCGCTCCTTCTGGCGGTGCCGAAAAATACATTCACCACGAAGAACGTCGCGTTCAACAAACTCCAGTCCAAGTTGTCGTTGCACCCAATGGCGGCCAAGAATCCTACATGAAATACCGTAAGGTGACAACCTCCTCGGCCCAACCCCAAGTTGTCGTAACTGCTCCCGTTTCTTCGTCGTACATCCACGAAACTTCCTCCGCTTCGAACAGTGGCTCCCAATTGGGTGCTTTGTTGACTGGTGGTCTTACCAGCAGTACCACATCCAATCTGAATTCCGGCTATGGTGGAGTGACCGGTGCCTATGTTGTACCAACAATGAGTATGTATTCTTGTTGATCCGTAAATATATTTCGGATGTTTATCATTTTAAAATAATTTACAATTCATTTTAGCCACTGGTGCTTTGACTACCGGCGCAGCTAATTCTCAGTTCAAAACTGGTTATGGTGCATCCCACCATGCTACTTCTGGTTTCGGAGCTGGTATGAATAGTGCTATGACTGACGCTGCTACTTTCAATTCCGGTGCTAAATTCGGTTCATCATTCGGTGCTGAATCTAGCTTCAACTCCAAATTCGGCACTCAATTTGGCAGCACTTTTGGTGCAGGCTCTACAACTGCCTCCACTTCTGGCTTGAGCAGTTACATGCAAGAAGCCGAACGTTTGGCTAAAATGCAAGTACAAGGAATGAATGTTGGAGGCACCCGCGCTGGTGGCAGCCAATATAATTCCAACTACGACAGTGCCAACTTTGGTATTGGTGGTTTCGGTGGTACCGCTGCCTTGACAACTGGTGCTGGTGGTTTGGGCGGTGCTGGCGGATACAAAGCCAAATCCTGGGAAAAGGCATCCAAGTGGTCCAGCCAATCTGAGGTACATGACGGCATGTCCTAGCTCCAACTCCAAACGGAAATGTCTAATAACTATGTTTGTTTACTATTTTAGTTCGGTTCTGATGGCCATGTAAAGAACTACAAGGAAATGTCCACCGGGGAAAGTGAAAACTACGACATCAATGGACGCCGCGTTGGCTACAAAGCTGCCACCACCACTCTTGATGACAATGGCAAGCTAAGCAGCTACAGTCTCCACACATAAGGCGGGGATTCGAAAAAGTGTCATAATGAAAATGAACAACGTATAGATTCAATATTTGATAAGAGAATTTCAATAAAACAATAAACAAATAGTAAAACGTAATTTTATGTAATTCCATTTTTTTTTTGTTATGACAACACATTTCCTAATCGGTTACAGTTAGTTTGTCTAAAATCTTCTTATAGATAAGAATAATACAATCAAAATTCAAAAAAAAAAGATAGAATTAAAAAAAATGTATTTTGGATTATTATTAATCAACTTGTTATGCTACAGAAAATAGAAATTATTTAATAATTTTTGTTGATAGCGTTTGCTTTCTCTGAGGTAAAGGTCTAGTAAAATCCGGCAAGAAAACGGATGCTGTGCAAAACATATGCGTCGAACATAGAGATGTTAGGCAATTCTATACAAAGTATAAATTTTTAAGTGGTAGTATCGGATAGTCGGACATGTATATTTGAAATTTATTGAAATGTATGCAGTTCTTTTATGAGTATTGTTTACATATTGTATTGAAATGAAATATATTGAAATGTGTAGAGAACACCGAAATATATAGGCATGTTACAGATTCCGATCGGAATGTAATTTTGAAAGTGCAGAATTTGGCGAAACCATAAATAATAAATTAATTATTTTTGTTGAATAATATGTGTTTTGATCGTTTTATTGTGAACCATAACTTAATGGGTCAATTTTATTTGTCAACTAACATACCAATTGAATCAAAGGTGCGGCTATAGTTATGCTACGCAGTGTATATATGGGAGCTATATCTAAATCTGAACCGAGTTTTCCCAAATTCAATAGAGTTCGTCCTTGGGCCAAATAAATAACGTATGCCAGATTTCATCCAATTCGGATAATAAATGCGACCGGTACTTTGTTGACGAACGGACGGACATGCATAAATCGACTTAGAATGTGATTCTATGCATATTCTCTATCTCGTTTCCTTTTGCCTGTTACAAACATATGCACAAAGACATAATACCCTGTACCACAGTGTGGTGAAGGGTATCTCTATCTCTATATATCTCTATATAAAAATTACGTGTATGTTCGTGATCGCTAAACTCAAAAAGTACCTCACCGATTTGGACAAAATTGTATGTACATGCTCTATGGGGTGTGAGGAATGGTTCTGTGTAGTTTGAAGTTCATCCGACAGATGACGCAATATTTAATTTTTTTGTGTTTTTCACCGTAAGTCAAGAACTACTGCACCGATTTTGACCAAACGTTATGTATATGCTCTATGGCGCGTGAGGAGTGTTTTTGTTTAATTTTAAGTTCGTCCGACAGATGACGCGATATATAGCATCTTCGTTTTCCCGGATTATTGATTGGGTGCTTGCTTAATCGGCGTGTGTTGACGGTATACTGAGCGTGGTAGTCAAATGAAAAAAGAGTAACTTAGCAAATTGAAGTAAAACTAATTTAAACCTATTTAAAAAAATATGTAAAAAATGTATAGTAACTCATAAATTGAGAATGACAGGACCGATTTGACTCCTTTTACAGACAACTAAAATTCTTTTTAGTTGTCTGTAATTGAAGCGGGAAGGTTTTTGTGAATGAAAATTTTGAGAAAATTCCGCGAAAATCGTGAAAAACTTATTTTGAAGGAACGACTGGACCTATTTGCCTACCATTATGTGAGACATATACCATAAAGTGATACTATACCGACAATTTACGGAGAAGTTCCTTACCCTACATGAAATAGCGAATTCAACGCAAATTTATAGGGTATTTGTTTTTAATTTCATTGTATTCAATCGTACTATCAAAATATGAAGCAATGATGGCGAGCCAATTTTGTTAAGTTATAAAAGCAACACATGACATATATCCTACAATATATCTGAATCATTGGCTGAAACCTGAACGTATTCTAAATAGAAAACAAAACCTGTTATATTTGTTAAAAGATTTCAATAAATATACACACGTTGTTATATTTAGATTATACCAAAATATCCATGAAAAATATTCTATCCATAAGATTACAAATACCTCAACAATTTAGCTAGCTATGGAAGGTATTATTGAAAATGTTCTTATTTTCGGGAAGTATATATAAATACGAATGCAATTTGACTTACATTTTACCAAAGAAATTTTTGAGAAAAACATTAAGAAGTCGGAGATTGTAGTAATCGAATGTTGTGTTACTTACACTTTTATAACTCAATAACGTCTGCACCAATTTTTATAATTCAAAGGAAAAGGATCAATACTAAATTATCTTTTGAGATAGGAATAGTTAGATCAAAACTTTACTTTCTCCCATTTTGGTAGAATAATTTGGACCAATTGACAAACTGAAATACCACACATACTGATATATAATAATAATGTATTGGCGTATCAGTAAATGAAGGTTCACCGTCATGAGGAAAATATTATGCATATTTTTATTGTGGAAATTTGGCGTAAAATTTCTGAAATATATTTTCCATGAATTCGTTAATTTTTACCAACCCTATATTGATGCAATTTTGATAAGACAAAACAACGTTTGACGGGTCTAGTAAAAATATAAAAAAGAATAGGAAAATACATTGTATTTTATATATGAATTTTATTGAGACAAACTGATTTGGAAAAACTGATTTTAAGATTTTTGTTTGGTTTCATTTTTATATTTTTGCTTTAGTATATCATTCGCAATGCCACATTGTAAAATTCTTTAAAATTATTTATTTTGGGTTTGAAAAAAGAAAGAATAAGAACAAAAATACCAATTTATAAAAGAAACAATATATATTTTACCTTAAATTTATTTCTATGCGAAAAAAATGTTTGTTTGTTTTCTGAATAAGCTAACTACGCAATTAATTCTATTATAGATCGGAATTCATTTTTGTCGCATGCCTGGGGTGTTACTCGTATTGCGTTGCGAAAGCTAAATGCGTTAAGAGTACAATTTGGTACTCTGTATCATTAACTCAAACGCACCATTTGAATTGAGGTCATGAGCCAGATTTGTCCACAAATTGTTGGCGGGTTGTTTCGCATTTGAACTCTGCAACTGTTCCTTTGCCAAATCGCTGTGTTGCACCATAAAATCTACAAAATTTTGAAACTGACGTTGCTGAGTCCGTAACTTTTTGGCTTTTCCCTAAAATAATTAACAATTTAGATATAAATATAACCTTTAATTTTGCTTACTTACATGTTTCGCTTCCTTTACGTTTGCTTTTTTTAAGGCAAGATATTTGCGCTTAAGGAGTTTGGCACACGTTTTCCTATTACAGAGTGCGGTGGTGCCACATTTGCGTAAAATATATGCGAAAGGAGATACGAAAACGAATTAGAGAGTACGAATTACTCGATCCGGTACAATTTTTCTTACGCATCGGAATACAGAGTACCCCCACGAATTCCACAAAAACAACATGTTCCACCTATAGGTGGAAAATGAAATTGCAAAGAGAGATAAAAATTATATAGAAAATGTTCTTTACAGATAAAGGAAGTTTTTCTTCTTAGTTAATAAGATGAACGAATATATATTAGTTTTATATTGATATTTGCCGTGCGTGTGTGCCCCTGGAAAATGCTGTTATAGTGAACCATGGTGGCAAAGTCAAATAGAGAAAATTCGCCAACGAATAAGGAATTGTTGAGCTAATGGTCCAAAAAATAAGATGAGGTATGATTAAAAAGACCGAAAAATGCTGAAGGAATGCGCAAGTTTTGGAAAGCAACCAGAGTGAATTGATGTATCTTGCCGGACGAAACAATCGTTTTTAAAGTAGTTAGACGGATGCGCTACAAAAACTTTGTGATGAATTTTAACCTGATCTGCTGTCTAAACTTGTTGGAAATATAACACTACTGCGAGACTGTATCATGGATTTATTATCATTCCTATTCGACTACGATACGAACTTTTTTTGGAAGATGGTCTTGTTCAGGAAATTAAATTGAAATCGTCGGTAGCCAGAGCAATAGAAGAACTGCAAGCACAACTACCTAAATCCAAGATGCACTACTATGTTAACAAAAGAATTAAAAAAAAAAAACAAAAATTAATCAAGATTAGGCTGTAATTCAAGTTGGCTTCGTCGAGAATTTTGCTATCATTTTGCAGGATTCTTATGAACAAGTTACAGTGTTCACTCCTTGCGTTTGTAGGAACAATTGAGTTTCAATCAGATGTCCTGACTATGAAAACTCCTGAAAGCATTTTATAGAAAATTTACATTTTTGATGTAACTTTGCAAATATATTTTTAAAGATTTGAAAGAGAAGAAAAATAATTTACAAAATTTTGTTGTTTTTTTTGTGGTTAAAGAAAACTTTCTATTTTTGATAGCGGGCAATCTGGAAATGCCAAAGGCATTATTGATGTTTGCGCCAATGCGGGATAAATGTAATAAGGGGGAGAAAACAATATCACCACAAAATAAATAAATAAAAACACGATTAGTTTTTATGTATAAATATAAAGGCAGAAGCCGAGTTTTATTGATAATAATTATGTGTGTTTTGGTAAACAATACTACCTGTGTGCAACAATATGCGGGGAGCGCGAACTTAATATCGACACGATACAAGAGCGGATCAATCAACAATAACAAAAAGAGACAACGATCAGAATATGAAGTAAAGCGGCGGCTTTGGCGCAATTCGCCACTCGTTGAAATCTGTTGACATTTGACAGATTTCAACGATGCTCTAAATGAATAATTATGCGTTAACCCATTGTAACGTACGACAACAAAATATAATTTAATATCGAAATTATACATGCCGGCCACATTACAACATATTGAGATGTTGTAAATTAAATACAATACATATTTTTTTTATAATTTTCTTTAATAATTCATTTTTTTCAATTTTTTTTTTCATTCAAAACATTTTTTCAATTCAATTCAATTTTTTTTTTAACATTTTGTAACGCTACACGTTACATATGCCCGACAAAGCCCAACCAAATATGGTATAATGGGCTATCGGTAACCCTGGCGTCGCTTGCACCCGATGTGTTATGACCCTGGCATAGACTTCCGGCCCGAGTACCAAGGCCACCCGACCAGGCCTATTAAAATCAGGATCTGCCAAAGGAAGACCAAGAAAAGAGTCCTTAATGCTATCGGGAATCGCCGCTGTAGGCGTAAACGCATGGTCCAAATTGTTCACCACTGCTACAATTGATATGGACTGACTCCGGTCATAAATAGAGCTAAGGGTCAGCCTACATATGTGGCTACCATCGATTTGGGAAGTAGGGAGCCGAAGACTACGAACCAGAGAGGCACATATCTGACTCTGCCTACTACACTGGTCCAATACCGCCCGTACGACAGTGGGACGGCCGGACGAAGCCAATTTGACAATCAATGTCGGGGATAAACTTATTCCAGTCTGAAGGGACATAAAGCCTAAAAGACCTAGTTGTGTGCTGGACACATTTTCAGTCGGACGACTATACGGACTTGATCTCGGACGATTTCGGTAATCATTATGCGGACGACGCCGACGATTATTGTGTGGTCTAGCCACGGTCTTCTTTTCGTCATGAAGAAGTGTGTGGTGATCTTCATTGCATACAGCGCATTTTCTTTTGCTTTGGCTGTCCTTGGCTTAGTGGGATTTAGCAAGACACCGTATGCAGTCATTATATTTTAGAACTATTCTTCTTCGCATATCAGCATTCAATACCCGGAAGTCACTACATCTATCCAGCGGGTGCATGCGATCACAAAGGCGACATTTATGTGAGGCCGCAGATGAATCATCAATGGACCCAGGCTCTGAGATTTGTACAGCCGCTATTGTCTCAACTGCAGCCGATGAAATTCCATCATGGGGTTTGCTCGGACGAGGTCCAACAGTCTCCGTACCGTCATCAACGTTCAAAAGTTCTTCCTCAGTGTAGACTTTTGCGGACATACTATTTAATAAAAAGATACAAAATTTAGTGGGACGCCGGAGTGTGGTCGGTTAAAACGACCAACTTGGTAATGGGCCGTCTTACAACGCCGTTTTCAGTTCGAATGTCGGCGACTCGAACGTGACCGTCAGAACCGGGATAAACATTTTCTATACGACCTAATTTCCATGAAGTCGGGGGTAGCTGATCATGACGAACAACGACAAGATCATCTGTAGCAATTTCGCGTTATGGAAATTTCCACTTATATCTCATGTGTAATTGTTTTAAATATTCCTCTTTCCACCTCAAACTAAATTTTTGGGCGAGGGCCTGAACTTTCCTAAACCGATTAACTAAACTTAATGGTTGCTCCGTGATGAGAGGTTCAGGGGGTGCTAACAAAGGGGCACCAATCAAAAAATGACCTGGCGTCAACGCGACTGGATTCTCCGACATGGGAGACAAGGGGCGAGAATTCAAACATGCCTCGATTCTGGCCAAAACTGTCGCTAATTCTTCAAACGTGAATTTTAGATTTCGAGGTTGCTTTTGAAAATGCATTTTTCACTCCAGCTTCCCATAACCCTCCCATGTGAGGGGCACCAGCAGGAATAAAATGCCACGATAGGCCCTGATGGGACAACGATGAGGAAACTGAATCGGCACTTTCTCGTAAGAAATCTTTGAAATTCCTTTGAATTTCCCGCGAAGCTCCAACAAAATTTGTTCCATTATCCGAAAAAATGGAATGGGGACAACCACGACGAGCAATAAATCTATGCAAGGCGGCCAAGAAATTAGCAGTCGATAAGTCCGACACTGCTTCCAAATGGATTGCTTTTGTAGCGAAACAAACAAAAACACATACGTAGCCTTTTGTAATGCGACAGGACCGACCCAGATAGGACTTTATATCAAATGGTCCTGCGAAATCCACACCAGTATTTGTAAATGGCCGATTAAGGGTTGTTCTCTCTTGCGGAAGGGCAGCCATAAATTGACTACAAGAACGTTTCTTCATTAAAATACATACTTTACAACGTCGAACTACGAGACGAATGAGATTTTTCATACGAGGAATCCAATATTCCAATCTCAAGGTTCTCAACATCAACTGAATATCACCGTGAACGCATTTCTGGTGGGTATATTCTACCAAACGTAGAGCAAAAGTACTGCGATAGGGGATAATTATGGGATAACGCTCAGAATATGCAAGGGTTGGTGAATCGGCCAATCTGCCGTTCATCCGCATGACTCCATTGTCATCAACGAAAGGATTTAGGGGGGCTAAAGGACTCTTACCACATATCGACTTTGTATCAATTAGATTCTTGTAATCCTCTGCGTAATATACTTTTTGCGCAATAATTATCAACCTACTACGAACATCATTTATTTCCGACGAAGAATTTTGTTTTAGGGGGTAGTAATAATGGTTTCTATACCGGGGATGAGTTTGGCGAAGGAACCTAAACACATATGCAAGGATTCGAAGCGCTTTATCCAGATTTGAAAAGTCTGACAATATATATTCAAATGTAGGCGAAAAGAACGAAAAATGTGAACGAACAGTTCGCATTTCGAGGTCAGTATCTATCGACACAAGATTTCGAAGAGGCCATTGTGATTTATCTTTACTTAGGCAACTTGGCCCGTGCCACCACAGGCGGGAGGCAGACAATTCTGCCGGGGATGTACCTCGCTACCTAAATCGGCGGGATTTTCCTCAGATTTGACATGGTACCAATTATAATTGCCAATATTTTCTTGTATTCGACTAACACGATTTGCGACAAACGTTGTCCAAGTGGAGGGGGTTTTCTTTAACCAACCAAGCACTATAGTGGAATCAGTCCAACAATAAATTCTACTGAATTCAATATCTATTTCCCGAACTATAGTTTTCAAAAGATCTGAAGCCAAAACTGCTCCACAAAGCTCCAAGCGAGGCAGCGATACTGATTTTAATGGGGCGACCTTTGTTTTGCACGATAGCAAATTGACGAAAATTTTTCCATCTGGGGACTCAACACGAATATAAACTACCCCCGCATATGCCTTTGTAGAGGCATCGGAAAAAACATGCAATTCAGAAGAACATCCAGGAACATACTGAACCAATCGAGGGATTCTTATGGAGTTAACATGGGGGTATGATAGCACAAACCTTTTCCATTCGGCCTCAGTAGCCGCCAAAAGCGAATCATCCCAACCAATGTTGTCTAACCAAACCTTCTGCATAATCATTTTCGCCGTAACAATAACTGGGGCTAGCCCACCAAAGGGATCGAACAGCTTCGCTATAGCCGAAAGTACTTCCCTCTTAGAATATTTTTGTTTGTCACCAATTGAACAGACTTCAAAGTAGAAACAATCTAAACGCGCATTCCACCTAATGCCCAGGGGTTTGGAACTACTAGCTTCAACAAACGAAACGATAACGAGCCAAAATAGTTTTGTCATTGGCGGTCCATTTTCTAAGTTCAAATTTTGCAGAGGAAAGTGCGAGTATCAACTGGTCCCTAGCTGCCAATGCAGTTTCGAGGTCGTGAGCTCCTGCTAAAACGTCATCAACATACATACATTTTCGCAAAATATGTGCAGCGAGAGGAAATTCGTTCTCTGAATCATCTGCCAGTTGTAAAAGCGTACGAATTGCTAAATATGGTGCACAATTTACACCAAAGGTCACAGTTTGCAGCTCATAATCTTGGACCTGTTTGGTAATCGAATCACGAAATACAATTCTTTGAAGCGGCGAATGCTGCGGATGAACACGTATTTGTCTATACATTTGAGTAATATCCGAGTTAAACACAAACTTATATACACGCCAACGAAGTATCAGAAGAACTAGATCTTGTTGTAAAGTTGGACCTACGTGCAATATGTCGTTAAGACTCTGCCCATTCGAAGTTTTATTCGAGGCATTAAACACTACTCTAAGTTTTGTGGTCTGCTTCTCAGGATTGATAACTGGGTGATGTGGCAAATAGCAAGAAAGGATGTTTTTAGAAGAATTTACAGGGACCGGTCGCATGTGGCCAAGATCCAAGTATTCCGATAATACTTGATCATAAACTGTTTTTACGTCAGGCCTTTTCAATAAGGAACTCTCATTCCGAAAATATTGTTTGAGAACATTCGCGCGAGATTCTCCTAAATACCCGGTAGCACTAAGATCAGTTTTAAGTGGCAGCATAACGATATATCTTCCCTCTGAGTCCCTACGAGTAGTTCGGATGTAATTCTCCTCACAAGTACGATCGGACGGGGATAACATTTTTCTTTTAGGAGTCTCCTCAAGTTCCCAGAATCTCAACAAGGTCCTATTTATTTTGTCTTCCTCAGCTACGTCAATAGTAGTGGAAAAGGATCTAATTTGTGCAGCAGGGATAGGACCCGTCACAAGCCAACCAAATACAGTGTTTTGAGCCAGTAAAGCTCCAGACAAAATCGGACGACAACCATCTAACAAAATTTGCGGATAAATATCTGCTCCTAATAGCAGATCGACGGGACGAGATTCAAAAAGATTAACATCTGTCAATCGAAGATTAGGAATTTGTGACCTCAAGTCGGAATTGACCACAAACGACGGTAGATTTCCTGAAATAGTCTCCAAAACTAACACGTGACTTTCTAATGGAAGTGAAGGATCTAATGGACTGCTAATTTGAATACGACACGCTTTACTAGACGTGGCCGAAAGCGTACAACTAACTCCTGATATAACAGCATTTGTAGAATATGCAGGAAGTTTCAAACGATTCTGAAGTCGCTCTGTAATAAACGAAGACTCAGAAGCAGGATCTATCAGCGCCCTAGCACGATACAAAACTCCATGATGAACAATATTCACCATTGCGGTACCTAACAGTACAGATTTGTTCTGCGCAGCGTTAAAAACTTGGCGGGGTGCACATCCAGCCGATGTAGATGGTATGCAATTATCCGAATTAGGGGGAACCGTCACCGAATTAGCACTCGAATTTTGGGGAACATTAGCGGATGTGATGGAAGTTCTAGTAGTACTCGATGTAATATCATTCCTATGTAACAATGTATGGTGGTTCCTGTTACACTTCGAACAACGACGTGTGCTTTCGCATTTCTTAACTTCGTGACCACTTCTAAGACAATTTACGCAAAGATGATGACGTTTCATAACCTTATATCTATCGGAAGGTTGAAGGCTTTTAAAGCGGGGACAGTCATACAATTTATGACGTTGATTGTGACAGATTACACAATTTGAACCATTGGAAGAGCGAGAACTACGCTGCTCGAAGGACCAATGTTTGCGCCAATGCGGGATAAATGTAATAAGGGGGAGAAAACAATATCACCACAAAATAAATAAATAAAAACACGATTAATTTTTATGTATAAATATAAAGGCAGAAGCCGAGTTTTATTGATAATAATTATGTGTGTTTTGGTAAACAATAATACCTGTGTGCAACAATATGCGGGGAGCGCGAACTTAATATCGACACGATACAAGAGCGGATCAATCAACAATAACAAAAAGAGACAACGATCAGAATATGAAGTAAAGCGGCGGCTTTGGCGCAATTCGCCAATCGTTGAAATCTGTTGACATTTGACAGATTTCAACGATGCTCTAAATGAATAATTATGCGTTAACCCATTGTAACGTACGACAACAAAATATAATTTAATATCGAAATTATACAATTGACTTTGCACAAAAATCGATGAAACGATGTACCTTTGATTATTTTTTGGAAAATCGATAAAACAAAAACGGAACAATTATTTTTATGTACTTAGCTTTCCAAGGCCGACATGCAATAAAAAAACTCGACTTTACAACAAGGTGTATAATTTTGTTCGTATATTTACAAGCTTACCATACAATGCCTATTAGTGATGAAAAACCTATTTTGGCCCATGAACCATCACCTGAAACAGCTAACTTCCTTCCTGATCAATCGGCTGCTCAGTTCTCTTTTCTTCTCTTTCCTCTTTGATAGCTTTCGATATTACTTCTCTAAATAGTGCACAAATTGCAAAATTTATGTGACAAATATTCTCACAATACATTCATTCGCTCTAGCCTTTGTCTATATCTATAAGCCCACAGAAAGTGTTCGTTCCTGCTAATCCAATCCCATCACATACAAGAAGCGTCCGTTTATCTCCTATGCTTTCGCTATTTTGGGACACGATTCAAAATCCTTTTCATAAGAACAGTTAAAGACTATGTTTAACATGAAACCCAGGGCCTCTGTCATCTCTCTTGTTAAACTGGATATTACCATTGTACCCTTAACATTTTAGCGTTTGTTGTAATTGCATGAATAGTAGGAATTACACAATTCAATAACAAAATTGTTATCAATTCTTGGTTGAAAATTAGATGAATAAATAGATATATTTGGTCCACCTCAGTCGTGGTTGTTTTATGCCTATAGTCACATTCGCCTATATACATTTCAAAAATAAATAATTTTATTATCATATTTATTACATAATCTTCTTTTTAAGTTCTTTAATAACTTTCTTTAAATAATACTGTCTCTTATATTCTCTCTCACTATCTTTTTAAATAATAACTCTCTTGTTTTGTATTATTCTACCACTCACTCCCACTTTATTGTTACCTGTTTTCCTCTAAATGTTTCCTCGAATGAGATTAATAATAGTATTGTCTAAATTGAATATAACATGCATTTTGTTTAAGATTTCAATTATTAATCAAGATCTTGTTCCTATCATTACCAATTTTCCGCAAAACTGAAATCATTGCAATAAAAAAATAAATGAAATTTAAGTTCTTTATTTTAAAAACAATTAGATTAAATGTTTTAAAATAAAATCTAAAACATAACTGTAACAGTCGGTACGCAATACTGTGAAAATATAAAGGCTTTTCCAGTGTTAAAAAGTTTAGGCGACATAATTGATGCAGTCAACAAAAAAATATTTAGGAAAATATGAAATCGTTTACATAACAAAAAATAGAAAAAACCGTATAGGAAACATTATTATTTTTTTAAAACTTTTAGTTAAAAATAATAAAATATTGTGGACAGTAAGTTTTCTAAAATAATATTTCTGCAAATTAAATAACTAAAAACACTTTCAATTTAACTGTACATGAAAATATTCTCTTTATTCAGTTAAATTTGCTACAATAATTTATATATTAATGCAACATAATACAAAACTATAACCTAAATTCTAATCAAGAAAAAAAACTAATTGAAATTATAACTAATGGATCATACGCAATTGTACGTGCACATCAAACTTTACGAGAAGATCACCAATTAAATACATATTCAGAAACTAAAATCACAACAAAATAACTGTAGTAAAAAACTGAATGGCTTGTTGCAAAATTTCTTGCATACATGACCATAAGACCACCCACTATCAAAAAACAACAAATTACCCACCCCACAATCAAACCATCATACTAAGAAGTGCAATCAATATCAACAACAATTAAATCAAAATTAAAATAATTTTGAGGCTTCAGCACCTAGAACTAAGCACCCCTCCCTCACGTTATGGAAAAATAAGAAGAAAGAAATCCATCGAAGAGATTAGCCAATAAGTCAAAGGTACATATGTAACATTGTTTGATTTGAAAATTAGACATAAGATATATTGCTCTTATAATTATGGAAGAAAGTATAACTGATTTATATGAGCAAGTAATAACTAAATTAAATTGAAGAGATGCACCAGACAATAATAATTCTTTACTACAATATACTGCAATACGAAAAAATGACAATTCTGGTCAATATAAAAATACTCAATTTAAAAATACACAGCCACAGTAATTTTTCTAAAAATTTTCAAAACGACAATAGACAATTTCAACCATATTATAATAAAAACAGAAACTATCCAACACAACAGCATTCAAATCTGATATATGCAAACAATAATAGTGGATATAACCTTAATAATGACAGTCCGATTCCTACGGACGTAGGAATTGTTGGACATTAAAATTTTCAGTCAGCCACCATCGATCACTAATAAATAAAGCAATAATACTCAATACTATAAATTCCAAATCAATTTCTACTACTAAAATCACTATACCATTTATATTTATAATAAACAGTTTGATATAAATGATATATATTTTGATATAATTGACATACATTTTTATAAACTGGACATAGACAATTTAATGGACCATTTAAATGAAGAGGAAATATCCAATTTATTAAAAAAGATTAAAGAATTTACAAAAAAAATTAAGTATATCATTTAACTGCTAATATTACATTTTTGCAAAAAAAGTCAGGCTGAATCCCAGTTTGTTGTTTTTTTATAAAAAAAAACTATATATTAGTGGGGAATGTATGGCATTGTCCGCCGAGGGGTCATATGCAGTCATATGTTTCCAATTTTTTCATAATTTTACTTTGACAACAGTCAGCTTTCAAAATTTAAATGAAAATATGTACGCA